TTGGATGAACTTGAAGAGGCATTTCCTGATGAAGTGGAAGCTTATAGGATGAGTCGTGCAACTTCTGCAGCAGTAAGTTTCTCAATTTTTGTGCTTGCTGAAATTCCTATAGGCTAATCTACTCAACTCTCAAGCATGGCCTTGATCCCAATTTAGTTGGCATCAACTATATGGATTTAATATGTGCACTTAATACTATTATGCACTAAATAAGTAGCAATTCCCCGGAGCAGTATATTGAACTGGCCTTAGGTAGGTTACTGGTAAATAAACATTTTGATTCGGTTCCATTGCTTGACAAGCTGGCCACCATCACAATTTCTGTTTAATGAAAACACAAAACAGAAACAAATTGCACTATTCCTGAGGGATTTAATGAGTTAGATAAAAAAGGATAATGCCCTACAAGTGGAGATAAGAAAATTTTGTTTATAATAGTTGTCAGAATCGATTCAGAAATATTCCGTAGTCCTATCAGGAGAGTCCAAGATGAGAAGAATAACTCGTGGGGTTGCCTTTTTTTTGTTTCCTTTAAAAACTCTGCAACATATGGAGACTAGAAGTTCAAGCAATTATGATTAACATTGAATGTAGAAGATCACATTAGCTAAAATCATACAAGGGCAGTCATTCATGTGAGTTTAGTGTTAAACATTCAGAATTGTCAAAAAAAATGTTAGGGTTGAATAAAGGATGTACTAACATTGAGGGTTATATGATAAAAGTCATAAAACAAGCAGTGAGACCTTCATGTTTGCCATCGGGGCTGCATAAAGAACTTCTGGTTTCGTGAGAATTAATATGTATGCCTGAATATTGTTCTCATTTGGTAAATTTGTGATAATTTGGATTATGATTATAGTTCATGATTTTGGATTGTAAAAGTTACTGATTTATGGGCATAAGTTAAGCTAAAAACTGTACTATGATCCATGATCTTTGCCAAACAAATAAATTTAACATGTAGTCTAAATAGTCTTATCAGATAAGATCTACCAAAAATCACTCTGTCAGACCTTCATATGATATACTCTAACTAGGTTGTTGAATGTATTTTGTTTGTTGATATTGCTAATATGCCCTTTATCCTGGTTTCTGTCTCTAAAACATATATTACAACTGATATTTAACATCCAAAACAGGAAGCAAAACAGTTGGCCCAAGCACAAAACGCATTACCAAATGGCGACGTGAAGGTGAAGCCAGAAATGTGAAAATCGAGGCCTTCCTTTACAACAGTTTATTCACTTCTGGACCGTTGTTTTAAAGTCTGTGTATACTGTTAAGATGCGACTCGATAGGTCTTTCATCGAACATGTTTGTGGCGTTGAAAAAGATTTACAGAACGATGCCCTGCCTATGTGCCGTGCACACCCGTTTTGAATTGAATGTTGTAGATGTAATTTTACAGAGTCTAGAGTGTTTAGGGAATCATGTGAACTTGAAAGCACTCTAGGTGAACCCTGCCTTGTGACTCTAGCTGTTAAACGACCACAAGGAGGTTATGGTTATAAAGTTAAGGAATAAGCGCCAAATTAGCCACTGAACATAACGCGATAGTGTAATCAGACCACTCAACCTAAAAAAAAGTGCAATTAGTCCATTCAATAGCCCAAATGCCTCCAATTTCACCTGGTAGCCGGTGATCCGTCCTTCTTCCTGGTTGCTTGCTGATGTGGCCTATTAGGTGGCCGATAATCCAATAGAACAAACACCACTGGCTAAAAAAAAGGAAGCTAATAAAAAATGCAACATAATAGGCCACATCAGCGAGCAACCGGGAAGAATGGTTGACCACCGGAGGTATTTAGGCTATTGAATGGATTAATTGTACTTTTTTTAGGTTGAGTGGTTTGATTGCACTATTGCATTACGTTCCGTGATCAATTTGGCTCTTATTCTTAAAGTTAATTATTTGACTAATTTAGTTGAGGTTATTTGGTAGTGTGTTTTATTCAATTTCTTGTGTTTCTTGGTATTGAATATCTTGCACTAATTCTACTTAGATGATCTCTGCCGAAACAGTGTTTGGATGAGACTGGTGACTGGTAGCCCCATGGGCCATGGCTCCCATCTTAATCCTACTTGTCTATTAATATGATGCTTGTGAGGATTTTAATTATATAATTATTTTAATATAAAATTTTTAAAATAATACTTTTTGTTTAAAAATATTAAATATTAATTTTTTCAAAATTAAAATTTTCTTAATACATAGCCATTGCCCAGTGACAAAGAGGTCCATATCTGGTGACGAATTTCAGATGAATAATGGTGACTACACATTCGTCTAGGGGAATAAAGGTGGCCTAGCCATCTTACATGGCGTTTGAATTGGTTGGAGGGGGATTTACGTGGGAAAGGAATTGCAATTCTATGGGAGATGAATTACTGAGAATAAAGTGAGAATTTAAATTTCAGTGTTGGTTTATACCATCTTAGATGTATTCCTTTTGCATGTTTTTGTAGGCCAACAAAGGTGGAGAATTGGAAAAAGAATAAAATAATTGTATAATTAAAATCCACGTAAGTATAGGATGCTATGTATTAACTTATTATAATATCAAGTGTAACATGTCGAATAAGTAATAATATAACCTAATTGCACTATTTGTTAGAATTAGGAAACCAATTATTTACTTTAAATTTTTCTAATACATTGTAGTATCTGTTCAAACATACTTTCTCAACCTGAGACAAAGAGTGAGACTCAATCTCATGACCTTCCATATAGAAGAGTCACTACATGTCATCTAAGCACAAGGTGCTTGGCTTATTTACTTTAAATTTGATACATAAAGCATAAATATTCTTATGAATAACATTAGTAAGAAACTAAAGATATTTTAATATATATTATTTCGAGTGTGATTATTTCTTGCTTTTATCTAAAGAAAGTGTTAGAGTTTATAAAAATGATAAAATCTCCATCTAAATTAACAATGTTTAGATAAAACGACTTTATCAATCTCCATTGATATCAATGATTTCAATTAAAATGGTCTTATCAAAGTACGTGTTATAATTTGTTGTCATCATAAAATCTCTATCAACATCAATGATGTTTCATTAAAATAGTTTTATCTAGGGAAAGTGTTATAATTAAAATCTTAAAATATCTATCCGCATTAAAGCTGCTCAATCAAAATTAATGAAATTGACATGACGTTGGGTACTAAGCTACAAATGTACAATGATTGGATTTTAGTTGAAGGTTGACACATCCATTTTTCACACGATAAGAACTGACTATAATTTATACCAAAAAACAAAATGCAATAATGTATCCACTTTGGAGGCAAAGAACAGTATTCAATGTGTGTATGTGAGCAAGCTAGGTGCATAATATCAATTTTATGGGTTTTTCAAAAAAATAAAAATTATCAATTTTATGGGAAAATTTTTGATTTACAAAAAAAAAAAAAAAAAACACAATTTTTTTAGTATTACTGACTGTGTTACAATGTAGTATCTGTTCATAACTACTTTCTCAATCTACTGAAGTACAAAGAGTCAGTACCGCTCCACTGAGGATTGAACCCAGGCCATGACCTCTCATTATGTATTTTAGGTAAAATTCAGCTTATAAACCTAACTGATAAAGAATCACTGCACAATGAGATAAATCAATTTTAATGTATAATAAATTTATTTTTAAGTAATATATTAAAATAAATATATAATACATTAGAAATAAATTTGTAATATAATAAAATTGAATTTGTATATAATGAAAAATGGTTTATATTGTAACAGGGATGATGGAACATTGTTTAATACTCCATAATTGAGTTTTATATTATTGCTGGTGACATCCTGGGCCAGCATTTTGCATTATTGTTGTTGTTTTTATCGTCCAATAACATTGGATTATTCTGAACTCAATAAACTACCATTAATTTCAATTTTCCTCAATTATTTAAATCTAAATATAGGAATCAGTTCTAAGCTGGAAATTAAAGCAATCACCTTCATTTCACATCATCACATCAAAGAAAGCATACATAGAAGCTATAAAATACTAATTTATTGTCAATTGTGTATTTATGTCACGGTAATTGATACATTAGAATTTTTTATGACTTTATTTTACCATTAAACAAATGCAATCCCGTGTTTCTCGTGGAAACAATTAATTAACTATAGCTCTAAACTTGATTTTATTTATTTATTTATTAAAAAGTAGGTGTTTTGTGAAACTGTCTCAAGTAAAATGTTTAATGCTTTTTATTTTTTTTATTTTTTATACATTATAAAAACTATATATTTTAATTTAAATAAAAAATGTATATTATGTGAGATAATTTGATCTTACACAAGACTTATTCAAAAGCACCCATTAATAATTACGTTGTTCATTCACTAAAGGTGAATCAATTCATCATATTGTGAGTTAATAAAAGTTAATGTATTGATAATAAGTTGAAGAAAATTTTATAATTCTCTGTGCTTACAAAATTATGGGGGTGTTTGGTAAATAGATGTTAGTTGTTAGTTGATTGGGTTAGTGAGTTTGATTAGGTGATAGCATTAGTTGATTGTAAAAAGAAGTTTGATAAATTAGCTTTTAGCTAATAGCTGATTATATACAAAGTGACTTTCTCAAAAAAACTATTTTGAGCTGTTTTTTGAATTTTAACATTTTATTTTAAAACAATAAGCTGTTACAAAAAACTAATTAAGGGCAAACACGTATATTAAATGTTTAACAAAGTCAAACAGCTAATAATGGTCAAATAAGTCAAAATTGATTCTCTCTCTCTCACACACACATTCTTGTTGGGTTGAAACGCCAGGACATTGGAAGTAGAGAAATTCACCTTTTATGCACAAGAATTGAACTTACAATGCACTAATCAGTAATCAATGATTTGAATAATATAGTATCAGTATTAAAACAACACGTAATTCGTCCATATCCAGTATTAACGTGGACAGGCTCGTGTCCATAAAGATGGCAAGTCACCCAATCACAAACAGTTTTCATAGGAATCCACGTCTGTCATCAGAAGCTTATTTTATTATTGCATAAATACATGTTAACACTTGACATTACATTGATATAGTGGAACACGCCAGCCCATTTTGTTCTAGTACATTCTGGGCAACTCAATACATACATGAACATGATACATTCAGGGAGGGAATTGAAGTGTACATACATTATACACACATACATATTTACGAACCCTAAACCTGCAGGGAATGAATGCTTTAAGCGCCCACTGATGTGGTTGCAAGATATGAATCCATTTCGCTTCTGCTGCATCTCACTTCTTCTTCAAACCAGATTTCTGGTATCACCTGCACCATTTCCGTCACTTTCTCCATCGCATAATCACTCTCTTTCGTCTTTGTTGCCGTCCCCACCTTCAATTGTTTTAATTCGTTAAGATTTTAGCTTCATACGTAATTAAACTACTGGAATTGAAAGTGGTAACAGATTGCACGTACCAAAGCTGTTCGGAGTCCCACGGCGTTTCCGGCTGCGATGTTTCGCGTGTTGTCATCCAGGAAGAGCTGAAATTACAAGGGGAATATATAAATATATAATCCCAATCTTTAGGTTCCGAAATGAATGATATGTTGAAATTAAAGGTGATTGATGAGAAGCGTACCGTGCGGCGAGGATCAACATCCGCGAAGTCAACGGCGATGTTCATGGCCTCCATGGCCGGCTTCAACACGACGGGGAACTCGTCCGGTCGGGACGATCGAGACAGGTTGGGATTCATGGTCTCGAAGCAAATAATCTGCTCGAAACAATCCTTGATTCCGATTCTATCCAACACTTTCATTGCATGGACTCTGTCCGAATTCGTAAATATCTGCAATTTTTTTTTTTTTTTTTTAATTTCAACAATCAACACAATAGATCATTAGAAATAGAGAATCAATCGAGAAATTTACAGGCTAATGTATGTTTGACTTACAATTTTGCGTTGGTTGATGCTGCGCAAAAGGCTTCTAAGCTCAGGGTCTGGTTTGATGAGATTGTAGGGTAATCTTCCATGGACAAAGCTGTTGAAAAATTCGAAATTAGAACAATAAATTAGAGAAATCCTTTTTTTATTTTAAATAGATTTTTTCAAGAGGAAAATGGCCATTTTCCATGTTTCCCTCACCTGTGATATTCATCAGCATCAACATCATACCCTAATGCCTGAAACAGAAAATTTTATCAATCAGAGATTATTTTCAGAATTAAAATGTTCTTAGATTCAAAGCAGAGATTAAATACATATATACCCGTAAACCGGCAAGAGAGCTTCCGTATTTTTTGAAGAGCTCAACGCGCAAAGCGGAAGCTTCCGTCTCTGGAAATCCGCATTTCTCCACGAGAAAATCTAGTTCAAAACCCAAAAAAATCAGTAACAGAAACAGTTATGCAGGAATCATGAATCATCACTGATAAAAAAAATGTATCAGGAAGAAAAAACAGAACCAAAATAAATAAATAAATAAAAATCAAACCATCAATATTCTTCTTCAATGCTTGTCCAATTCCAACTTTCGACGAGTACAGAGTATCATCCATATCTAAAATCACAGAGGAAACAAAACAAAAAACTCAGCATTTCCTATATCCAAAAAAAAAAATGCAGTTCAAAGCTAAGAAGAATTAAGAAGAAGAAGAAGAACTTACCGAAAATGATGGCGTCGAAGGGAGAAGAAGAATCGCGAACTGATTTGCAGAAGGAATCCATTTCCGATGATCAGAGAGAGGGAGATGAGATGTTCGATGAAATGCAGGGGAGGTTTAGGGGAGGGAGGGAGGAGGCGTATTTATAAGGCGAGAGACGGAGGGAGGGAGTTTAGATAAACGTTTTAAAATTCGTTGCTGACTCAGCCGTCATCTCCTGACAGCTTAACGGAGACCGGTCGTGGGACCTACACGCTTGTTGTATAAACATATTCTAGAGCTAAAGGACGGTAATGCCCCCCGCCTTTATATGATTGACACGTTTGCATTAGCGAGCGACGCCGACCAATATCTAAAATGGAATTAATTAACTTAATAATATCCCTGCCTAATATTCTTACTTGATTCGGGTCTCCATTTTTTAGACGGTAATGTGTTATGTTAACTTAAAAATAAAACGATTATGTTACCTAATTGACTTCTCAACTTAATAAGTTACACAATAAAGATTTTTTAAAGATTAATATAGACTTAAAATGTTAGGTCTATTGGTTTAACTAATAACTCCAACAACAATTTCTTGGCCGCGAAAAATCAAGACATTCGCTATTTATTATATCCACATTTGGCTGAAGTAATGCCAATTAAAGAAGTTCGCTCTTGGGCTTTGGAGCAAGGATGACAACGTCTGGTTTTATTTTTGGATTGTCAAATGGTTTGTTCTATGCTTGAAGCTATACATACAGAATTTTCTTACGCAGGTTGTGTGATCAAGAAATGTCAAAAGTTAATGCAACACTTCATTGCAATGTCTATCCGTTGGTTTATTATTAGATCAGAAATAAGCTAGCTCATGTTTTAGCATGGGTGGCAAGTTCGCAATCTGGTCCTCGTATTTGGTTTTACTCTTATCCTACTTGTATTCAACATTTGATTCCAATTGCTCAATATATGTTTTTTTTTTCAAAAAAAAAAAAAAAAACCATTGCACAGTTCAGTACAACTAATCAAACGATAAGTATTGCTAATTTGCTATTAGCCGCAAAGGGTCTAAAATTAGTTCGACAAAACCTGAAAAACTTGGTGAAAGTAAAATAATTTTTTTCTAATAACGCAATACTATTCCCACAATCTAAAAAAATGTTTAGGTTTTCAAAAGATGAAAAAACTCAATAAAAATAATGTTATTGTTGAGTGATGACAAAAATTTGCAATTATTACATAAAAATGTAAACTAGATAAGCCATAAGCCAACACTTACTACACTAAAAAAAATAAATAAAATTATGTGCGTCGAGTTCAAATTTGTTATCTAGAATCATATTTCAATTTGTCAACTCTGCAACCCATTTTAGAGCTTAAAATAATCTTATTTAATTAATTGATTATGTAAATTATTTTATCTATTTGTCAATTATATGTCAAATCATATCATAAAATTTTGTTGGTGTTAAAATATCATCACACAAAAGGATGAAATTCCTATTTTTACTTGTCAAAATTTAATCTTATATATATATATATATATATATATATATATATATATATATATATATATATATATATCATTGAGTGTAATATTTCAGCCATGGTAGGTCGGGCCAAAAAACCTAACCACCAAATCGGTTGTACATTTGCTTTAAATTGCTCGTGGAAAACGTGGCATAGCTAGCTTATGTATAAAATAGACAATGGTATTTCTTTAACTTTAAGCTGACAGTCCTGCTACATGAGTGGCTCGAACAATGAACATGATAAGATCACCAGATATATTCCAAAAAATAATGGATACTATGCGATTACAAAAGATATTCTATGGTTATTTAAAAGATATTCTAACTTATCACGTTAAAATATTATAAGTTACTTCTTTTTTGAAGTAAGAGTAAAATTTTATGGCTATGACTAGACTTAAATTTGAATTGTTTCATTGTAGTAAGAATATTGAATTTTTGTTAATACAATTTTGGTTAAGCTTGTCACATAAAATTTTTCTAGTGTATACGTTTTACATATTTTGTGTGGTTTGTAGTTGTTATACAAAAACAACATTTACTCAATATTTACTCTCATGAGAGTTTCTCTTTCCATTTTTCTAGTGTGTACATTTTACATATTTTGATTAAGTAGTGACTGCGAGTTTCTCTTTCCATTTAAATATAAAAAATAAAAAAAAATAATATAGTCATACAACATACATAATAATTGATACAACAATACCCATTATATGTACATACACTTTCCTCTTAGCCTCAATCACTTTCTGTGTTGGTTGATGGTGTAAGTCATTTTCTTGGGTATGGTGTTACTATCATAATTATTGTTGTTACTAATATATATATTTTTGGGTGTCAAGAAAATTCATAATCACTATTTAAGAGTATGCACGGACTAATCTCACTCTAATGTAATAACTCACAAACCACATAAGATACATAAAGTGCAATAAAAAAATCAGACCATGTATGATGAATTTGACTGAGAATGTGTTAAAAAAAATCAAACTAATTTGTTATTAGTATTTTAATTTGTTTGTCATATTGGCAAATGACTCAGAACTCACTTGGAACATTATGTGAACGTGTGAAGATTACACACCACAAAGTCATTATATTGTTACGTACTAACGCTTACATCATTTAACAGAAGGGAATTGGTTCCTAGTCACTAAATAAAGATAAAGATTTTCCTAATGTTAACTTTGTGTTTACTAAACGGTTTGCAAATAAAGCTGTTCATCTATTTGTGCGAGAAACTTTATTCATAGCTAATCGTATGGGATGGAGGTCTTCGATCAAGATCCGATCCCCTCCTTCCTTCTTTTCAAATGTATTTTGGTTTTGATCTATATTAATGAATTTTTATTGTCAAAAAAAAAAAAATATTAACGTGGTAATATTTTTATTTATTAGTGTTTTTATGTTCAAAAAAACCCCATATTATAATTGACAATATTATTATGGCATACTAAGATAGGTTTAGAGTTTGTCCGGTTGGTTCTACAGATATCTGATCAATCAGAAGCAACAACAGAAGAACTGACACTGAAGATCTGACTTAGGGAAACTGTTTCCTTAAGAGGCTCACGCGGTATTATCAGCCCAGTATGGAAAGACGATCAGCGTATCTTCAAAGAAGGTAATGGACCTAATCTGCTAAGATTACATTCCTCTTTTATAGTCCTACCTTCTACATTCAAAGATATCTATGGAGAGTGTTTATTGAATGATCTATAAGTACCAGTTCTTGAAGGGAACTAGGGTTACGCCAAATAAGAAGAAGAAACACTCCATATCAGCTTTATGAGACTAGATCCTTGATTGTCATGCACCTTCTCAATACAACATGTTCACAGTGATTAAAATGATGAACTTGAGAAGAGTTACTGCTGCTTAAACGAAAGGACACTAAGATCACACTGTTGTGGGAACAACCTTATAGAGCGTCACTGAAGTGGACTGCATCAGAGTGGGCTCTCCAAGTGAAGGGATTTCATTGGACTTCTGTATGCATGACTCTCCATCTTCAACAATCCACTAAACCTGTGTAGACTGGGTTTGTACCTTGTGTGAGGCACTTGGGTAAGATTATTGTATATCTACCTTTGTACATTGGATTATGATTTAGTGGATTGGACGCATATGTGATCGTCCCCCAGAGTAGATACACACCGTATCGAACTGGGTAAACATTGTGAGTATTCGTTCTGTGTGTTTGTTTTTATTTCTCTAATGTTCTCTTCATGATCTATCATTACTGAGTAGGCGCTTAACTGAATCAATCAGTATTCTAAGTCAGCCAACTATTTCTGATATTTTACGTAAAATGAGAAAATGCAAAATTACATTATTCAAATAAATGAATCAAATATTTGAAAAAAAAAACATAGAGAATCCCGTCATGACAACTGATCCATCCGAATGACAGAGGAGTGACAAGAAGATAGAGAGGTAGCCAACTTCTCCATATTTTTCGGTGATCATAATGTTGAAAAGTTTTGACTAACTTTTTCTTTAAAACAAATAAAATAATAAAAACAAAAACTCTATGTGCATAATTTGAATTGAATTCAAATAAGTTTTATATATTGTGTTAAGATATTGAATGTTGTAAAAAAAAATTGATTAACATACTTGTAGTCAATGATCAAGGATATTACATTACTCCACTACACACGAATTGAATCAATTATTCCATTATTGTGACATTTTTTGTTACCTAGCCAATTTTTGTTGAAATGTTATTGCACATGCATGTACATACATGATATCTAATGTCTAATAATAACAACAATAATTATTATAATTATAATTAGAAGGGATTATTTTAAATAAACATTATTAAAATATTTATTCCAAGAGTATAAATTTATTTATTATATTGTACAATGCATGATCTTTGAATTGCTAACTCATCTCTTTATAGATAGATAGATATTTGATGCATTAAGAAAAATCGATGTATGAATAATAAAACGACGGCGTTGCTATCCATAAATTTGTTTCAACAAGTCCTCCCCACAAGGAAACTTAAACCGGCATCCATTATCTTCCTCATCTTTCATAGGGAACAGAACATATTCACGAAAAGGAGCTTCTGGATATGCCGGTGACGACCCAAACAGATCCTTACCGGAAATCCATGGCGTATAGTCATTCGGATTCACAAACCCTTCGTCTTCTTCAACTCCAAGAACAGCAAAACCCCTAACAAATGGGTGATTTAGCAGCTTCTCGACCGTCCATCTTTTTCGTGGTTTTATCTCCAAACATTTTTTCATGAAATGCTTGGCTGAATGGGAGATATGGTTTGGTATTTCCGGTTTGGTTAATGATATTTTCATGGTTAACTCATCGGTATTGCCGACTCGCCACATAAGTTTTCCGGTGATCATCTCGACGACGATGCAACCCAGCGCCCAGATATCCTTAGGTGCCTCGTATGACCTGCGGGTTAAGTTAAGTTGAGATCAACCGGAATAAGAATGTTGAGATATATTGATAATATTTCCGTGTGATGGGGAATATTCCCCGAGCGTATTTATAATATACTTGCTTGGGGTACAACCTGTGTGTCATGGGCAACATTTCCGGACCTTGATTAACCTTATGAGTTATGCTAGACCTATTTGACCTTGATACGAAGACCGAGAGTAAAAGACATTTTTGGTCCTAGATTTATAGTGGCACAGACAATTTTAGTCCTTCTTAAAAAATCAGACAACCTGTGTCCTCGTTACGATAAGAGTGTCCATAAATTGTCTGATTTTTTTAAAGAAGACTAAAATTATCTGTGCCACTATAAGTCTAGGACCAAAAATGTCTTTTACTCCGAAGACCGAGCAAAGCACTAGTCAGAGTGCATCTTTCACCTTACCTTAAGATCAGGACTGACCTTGCTATGTCATCATGAGTCACGACTCATGACGACTAACCCGAGTTAGGCCACTGAGACTCGTCTGAGAGAGATGAGCCTTATTTCTCGATTTGTGCGTGTCATCCCAATCCCAGAGAGAACATAAACGTTAGGAATCTTTGTACAAGTGGGGTAGTAGCAATGTGTCTAACCTCCCGTGCATGTGTCACACGTGGCGCACATCCCGACCCCGGCATGTGTTTCCTTTCACACTACCTATAAATACTGCATTAATTGCACATGGAGGGGAACTTTTGGCCTTTCCACCTAAGCCTAATTAGCTTGGAATTCCCCCACGCACTGTCACTCGTGCTCGAACTCTACCACTTAAACCAATAAGCAGAGTCCTACAATTCTACGTACGTACCATATCTGAGTATATACACTTATCAATATTTCTCGATGTATTTACCACATCAACGTGGTTCCATAATATGTCATACTTTCACAAGAATGAGGCTACTCTTTTATTAATTATTTTTGGACGGTGGTAAGTAAAGGTCAAGTCTAGCATGAGGTGGTTGGAGTTTGTTGGACAGAAGTCCAACTCCAACTTCTCAAAAATATGGTGACGGTTTATTAAAAAAATAAAGTTGTCATTAGCTATAACTTTTTATGTATGATAAATGTTTTATCATAATAAGTCGAATCAGGTCTTATCGCAATCGTAAACATGTACATATACAATTAATTAATCAAAATTACCTCCGTGATCTTTTCCTCCATCGGGTTAAAGATTCCGGCGGCGCGTATAGTAACGTCCCGCGATGGTAATCACCGTAATCGTCATTCCGTCGGCCGGCCAGCTTCGCCAGCCCGAAATTGCACAACTTGAGCCGATTCCGGCCGCGTTGAGTGGGGAAGACGAGGACGTTATCCGGCTTTAAGTCGCAGTGGACGAACCCTAGGCTGTGCACGCGGTGGATACCTCTGAGAAGCTGATAAGTGCAGCGTGCAACCTCCGTCTCCGGCATGCTTCCGCCGTGAGCCTCGATCATGTCGTGGAGGGTGCCGCCGGGAGCGTATTCTAGCAGAAGGTTGTACACTACGTGTTCTCCATTTTCCACGCTTATGTCTTCCCCAAAACAGTGAACGATGTAAGGGCAGCCTCTGAGAGCGTGCAAGAACAGTCCTTCCCGTCTCAGGGAGCTTGAGTTCTCCATTCCGGCGGACTTCACTGCAATCTCCGTTTTTCCGGCGGGTTCGACGGTCAAGTTTACTGTTCCGTTTGATCCAGACCCTAGAAAGCGTTGTTTCATCAACTTCATGTATAGTGAATGGATTGTAACTCGATTTGAGAATGAAAAATATAATGATTAATTTACAGGATGAATTGAAGTAGCCGGAAGTGATGCAGGTAAATATATAGCCATGGGCTTGCATGGCAAGAATCTGGAGAATCTGTAATATGCACATAAAAGATTCAAGTAAAAGAAGACAAAAAAATCTTCAATAGACACACAATCCATTTCTTTTATAATAGATTCTGTTGAGCAACACACATCCATAAATAATAAATCCGTGGTCCAACTATGAGTTTAAGATTTTAGTTGAAGTCTATAGATCATTCTTTCAATTTAGTATTATATAGAATTCTTTTCATTTAGTTAATGATATTGACGGAAAATAAGTTATCGAATACTATTTGAAAAGTAATCAGAGTCGTATTACTTATAAGAGTATTGTGTACAAGAATTAGAATCTGTCTTTGCCTACTGAAAAGTTTTCTATTTCTACTAATGTGTGCAATGTCTCTCTGCTCAAGTAACAGTTTCATAGTAATGAAGAGCCAAGTCTACATTGAGTGTGGTCTTCACTATAATTATTCCCTCTTGAATAGATCAATAGAGTAAATGTTTTTGTTACACAGACCTTTATTTCTTCAGGTGATTCTGGGTCGGGTGCCTACCCTATTATCCATCCAGATATAATAATATTCATGACAATGGCAACGGCTATATATGACTTATTATCTACTACCTACAAATACATATTTAGACCTGGATTATTCACAATACAATTGCTGGATACTTATCTACAATATAACGAGTGTGCTTATAGTTACATGTCATGCAACCAGCAATTTATATCGTGCACCACAGTGCACATAGCAATGTGCGCCCAAGCACAAAACGCGCGCGTTTCTTACAGACGCCATTCCGTCTGTCCGAACAGACTAAACTCCATTATGTGTATTCAGTTAAAAGTTTATGTGTACTGTGTTATGAGTTTATGTGTAAGAGTTTCTGTATTATGTTAACCAAACCCATTATGTGTATTCAGTTAAAAGTTTATGGGTATTGTGTTATGAGTTTATGTGTATTCAGTTAAGAGTTTATGTGTATTATGTTAACCAAACCCCATTATGTGTATTCAGTTAAAAATTTATGTGTATTATGTATTATGTTAGATTATGTGTATTCTGTTATGAGTTTATGTGCATTCGAAATAGATGATTTTTTTTTAACAACTTAACAAAACGACGTCGTTTTGGGAAGCGCGGAGAGCACAGTGCTATGTGCACCGTGGTGCACGGTATAACGATTGCATGCAACCATTTAGAAATGGAAGGTACAGTAAGTTGGGTCGGAAAGCCCAACTCATCAAGCTGGCCCAACTACATGGGCCAAGCCCATTTGTATATATCTCAAGTACTCAGCTTCATTATACTTTGTCCCTCCAAGTTGGTGCTAAGTAATTCAATACCCATTATACATACATTGGATCCACACAAGTTGGACAGATAGTACAATCTTCCAAGAAAAAGTGTGTGGAATGGCCCAATCTTTGAACATAAAACCCGGCCCAAATTACATTGGAGCCCACTTGGGGGTATTGAGTCGCAAATTATGCTGTGCAACCGTGTGCATCATGTATGGTGCACACGGTTACAAAAACGACGTCGTTTTGACTAAAAACACGCGTCCCACTTTAAAAAAAATTCAGGTTCAATTCTCGGCAATAACATTTTTGTGTGCATAATTTGAATTATATATCCACAAATTCATAACTATATATTCACAAATTCATAACTAGATATCCACACTGAATAAATAACACAAAATCCAGAATGAATGAACTAAATATCCACAAATTTATAACTATATATCCACAATAATTCATAACTATATATCCACAATAATGCTGTTGAGTGGAATCGAAACTGAATTTTTTTTTTTTTAAATGGGACGCGCGTTTTTAGTCAAAACGACGTCGTTTATGGTGCACACAGTTGCACAACATAACTATTGGTATTGAGTAATTTAAATCTTGGACCATGATTCATGTCGATCATAACGTGGCCACTGACACAAATTTATTTTTAGTGTATTACATGTTCATTTTTAGGTAGCATATTAAAAAGAAATTTACAGATGAATTTAACTTGTATCAAAATATAACAAACATATTAAAAAGAACATATAATACAATAAAAATGAACTTTTAGTATACTACAAATGAAACTTATTTCAGTGATCCACCTTATAAAATAAACCGTGGTCTATGATATATCAATTGGGGTATTGTCTTCTTGCTTATGATTGGCATAATCCTAATTAAAAGCAGAAAACCATAATACCTGCTGCGTGCTTAAAGATCTATAAACATGAGTATTAATGATGATTAATATGGATTAACAAGTGTCTTCATTCGGAAGAAATAAGGATTACTAATCAAGGATTACAAAAAATTTTCATCAATGAATCGGAAGAAATAAGGATTACTAATCAAGGATTACAAAAGATCTTCATCAATGATTCAAACGCAAATGTTCAACCTAAAATACACATAATTATAGTTGATACTATTGATACAATGTTAATTGACACGATAGAAAATCCACAAACTGTCCAAAATAATGTGATATCACTTGTAGATTTTGATTGTTCAATATTAGGCATTGTTTAAGCACGTTATGTTGTCCTAAACCAAATTATCAAACTTCATAATCTCCAATCAAAGATTTCGACTTGTAGATTTGATGGTTCAATATTACGCATTGTTTAAGAACGTTATGTTCTCTTAAATAGGAATGTCAATTGAACCCGCACCCGACGGGGAACCCGATTTCCCGTCCCTACGGGGATGGGGATGAGGACAAAAGTAGGGGATCGGAGATCGGGATGTGGACAATTTTGAATTCCCCGTCGGGGACGGGGGCGGGGATGGGGAGTACCCTCCCTGTCTCGTCCCCTATATATATATATATATATATATATATATATATATATATATATATTGCCACACAACACACACAAATGTAGTACTTTGTATACAATATATATAATTTTAGAAGTATTCTTGTCATTGTATGTCATGCATATTTAAATAAAATGTTTAATTGTAAAATATTGAATACAACTTTGAGTTGGGGATGGATATATATGCGTTATTTATTTAAATATTTTTTAATGTTTTTTTTTTATAACTTGTTAACGGGGTGGGGATTCCCCGTCCCCGAATAATCCCCGTGGGGATGGGGATGGGGGGAATTTTTCATTCCCCGGCGGGGATGGGGATGGGGACGGAGAATGGGAAGAAAGTCGGAGACGGGGATGGGGTATGTCCCCCGCCCCCACCCCGCCCCGTTGACATTCCTAGTCCTAAACCAAATTATCAAACTTCATATTCTCCGCTCAAAGATTTCGAATCGCCCCACATAATTATAATCACATAACACATCATTACTCAGCTTTGAATTGAATTAGTCGGGGCAATCCAACCAAGTTATTCGAACAATTGGTTTGATAATCATTACAAGATTCAAGTTCAACTCTCTATAAGTTATGTCTATTGGTCTTCTTGTTGATTTGATCTGGTAAGCAAACAACCTAAGTTAGGTAACATCCTTGTGGTATTTTACCTGGAATGCCTTCTAAGGTCACAAGATAGACGAGTAGGCTTCAGCTAGTTGGGACATAACCATGTAATGGCCAATCAAATAACTTAGATTAATTTATCAACTTGTGATCCTTTACCAGCTAAGCATTACTACAAACAACACTTTTAGCGTTGGTTATTATGGGCATTTAACAGTATTTAATTTTTGACATTGTTCTGATTGATGTAATAAATAAATTATACAAACAAAAGTATCAAGTAACATATATTTTACCTTATGATATATATGTCATTGAGTCTTTTGTTTTTTTTTTTTTTTTTTTAATACTTAATTACAACATAAAATCTTTTTGAATACAACTCTTCATCATTAAATATTATATATGTCATTACTTAAGTCAATGTGAATTGCAGTCTTTAACTTTTCACACCTAAAAACAGATTAAGTCAAAAGTTGTTTACTGGTGGACAGATCTTGAAGTCTGGGATTGAATTTAATATACACATTTTGAAATTTTCAATTATTCTTTTGCTTTCACTTTTATTTTATTTTATTTTTTAAGTTTTCACCAAGTGTCTACTAATGAGCTCGATTAATAAAATATTGTTAAAAATTAAATTTGTGATTATTCAGATACGAAAATCATGTTTAGTTACCTTTTTTAGAACATATTCAATTGATTTAACCTCTAACATGAATTTTGGAGTATGAAAATTAAATTTAATGGTTTATTTTATTTGTAATCTTTTTTTTTTCCTTACAAAGAATCAATAATGCCTCATCACCTTATATTTAACGGGCGTTCAATGATTCTTTACAAAGAATACAACTGAGGTTCGATCATGTGACTACCAATTTGGAATATTAACATATGTGACTGCCCCGCCAGCATCCACTACACGGCAGCCGCAAGGGAATCAGCCATCCCTGAATTGGGGATACGGTAATTATCAACATGCACCGCCGCATTTTAGCGGCCCTCTTCCGCCGAGGAATCATGTTCCGTTGCCGCCACCCCAGTCTCATCAGCAAGAACAACAATATCAGTATCCGTGCGCCACCCCCACCTCCTTCGATGATAGTTGTGATTTTCACCGTCGGACCTCCCTCGCCTTCCAGGGCTGCCGCACGCAAACAGCCGTGAAAATCAAATATAGTATATAATACTGACGCAAATGAGGAAGAAGAAAGGTAGATAATGAAAAGATCACCCTCCCCCCCCCCCCCCCCCCCCCTAAACTATCAGCTAAGAGACGGATGGATAACAGAAGGACCATTGCTGGAATAAATTTGAAAGTCAAGTGTGTTTTTCGTTCAAATTAAAAGTCGAGAATCAATTTTGAAAAATTGTAATAGTCGGAGGACCATTGTTGGAATTAACTCAATTAAGAAATATATTAAGTTATTGCTTTGAGTCTGACAGTT